AAGAGGTTAAGTGTTATAAAAGCATGCAATTATAGTAGGAGGAATTTTAAATAAATGTACCTGAGTGATAAACTAAGCATCAAAATGTGTGAGAAATAAATAAACAGTTGACATATAGCCTATACAGTTCACAAGTTTGTAGGGTCCAGACACCCGGCTACCTCCATAGGCCAGCTTAGGACCATCATTGTAAATAAATGTACTTGCGTGAGAATATATGCATCAAAATGTGTGAGAAATATATAAACAGTTCAAATCAACAAATCAAGTCACCCAGCTGCTGGGTGGTCTAAAGCCAACCCAGCCCTTGGAATTATTTACCTAATGCGAACCTACGTAGGTTCGCTTTAGGTAGTTTTAGGTTCACTTAAGGCGATGTTCAAATATGCTAATTAGATTCAGGTTCGCTTTAGGTGACCACCTAAAGTGAACCTATAATTACCTAGAGCGAACCTATAATTACCTAAAGCGAACCTACCTAGGTTCGCTTTAGGTAGTTTTAGGTAGTTATAGGTAGTTATAGGTTCACTTTAGGTGATCACCTAAAGTAAACCTAGACCTAATTAGCATATTTGAACATCGCCTAAAGCGAACCTACCAATGGAGTTTTTATATGGGGAACTACCTAAAGCGAACCTAGAAATCCTAAGTTAAATATATCACCTAAAGCGAACCTACTGAAAGGCTGGGTTAACTTACTAATTGCCTTGATTTCCTAAACTTATCTTTTTAGGCTTTTGGTTGACCACAGTGCATTTTTCAATTATGGTATACTCATTTTTACCATAGATACTTATTCTATGACTTTTTCAGCAGTATTTATACGCCATCTTTCAAACATTTGCAGAACTATATGTATGATTTACGTTTTGCTCAGACTGATTTTCCAAGATATCTGATAAGGAGTTCAATACCCTGTAGGACATCCATAATGTGGTTTTGTACTTTTTTCCATTTCTTGGAAGCCTTTGTGAATGAGAAAGAGTGGCTCAGGTGGTCCAAATTGACACAAAACGTAATACTTGTCACATCTTTAAAGTACCATAAAGCCTAGAGGGTAGAAGTAATTACCATACTAAGACTAAGAAAGACCATTTGAAAGTTTTAATACTAAAAAGACCTAAAAATGAAATAAATGAAAAACTGCAAGATGATTTGAAAAGGAAGTAGAAGACATGTTTATCATTGATAAGCCCAACGCCCTTGTGTTGATTAGTCTTAGAGATATTGGCATATACCTGGCATCTTCTCTGTAAACTGATTTATCAATAGGTGAACCAGATATCAGATTTCTTCACCATCTTATTAATTCTATGTGTATTAACTATTAAAGTACATTTGTATATACACTGTATAGCATTTGTGTCTTTCCCTGTATTGATGATTTTCATGTCACCGCGCGCCACAAGTGGTGACATATTGTATTAATCTCCAACTTTCTGTGGCTGCAGTTGGTGTTTGGCATTTGGTGGTTGGTGCCTGTAACAAATGGCAGGTGGTGATATTTTGCATGTTAATGCCTCGTCTTAGTCACGCATGAAGCCACCTAGACCCACATCCCCCCCCCCAGTTCTCCCATTCGCTTTATTGCACATGCTGGTTTAATGAAATAGAACTGATCTGGGAGACCTGCTGTCAGATAATGTCTTTAGCTCAATCCCTGTTGTGTGCGTCTACGATTTGTGTCAATTAAATTTACACAAAGTATTGATGTAATTATCTCCCAGGTTATCAGTTGATTTGAGAAATTAGATTGATTATAGAACAAATATAGAATCAAGGTTACCCATTAATTGTTACAGGCGTCTGCAGTTTGCACCCTTGAAAAATTTGCTTCCAATTCCCAAATTCCAAAATGTATTTTTAAGTGGTGTTATGAATATCTTACTAAAGGAATCACAACTTATAGTTACAGTGAGCCTTGACATATAATCTACCACAGATTGGTTTTTTATTGAATTTTTAGAGATCCTGGAGGATTTAGATTCAAGGGCCTACGTAAGAATAAGTTGAGGTCAATACGAATGTTATAATTGTCATCATAATTTATTACATTAATTGGAATGCCTTGCAGTTCAATTCACATAAGATTATACCATTTTGTTACAATTTTCCCTATCATTAAAATTGTACTATTTATGGTTTATTGTATCGCAATGTTTGTTCATCATTTAGAGAAGTGATAAGCTGGAAGTTTATCTAGGAATAGCTGAATACGTCTCAGAACACATTCAAGTTGGAAAAAGGAAGATAGACAAGAACACGAAGATTTGATTTAGGAATCTACGTTGTGAAATACAAATGTAGTCTTCTTTTTTCTGTCAGATCATTTTTGATAACATGAATATAGGATTATGCAAAAATTGGATAGCTATGGATATATAACTGATTTGGAATATTATTACATCGGTTCTATTCAATAAAACAAAATGCAAAAAAGAAGAGCGAGTTTTGACACACTGGGAAAAGAGTTTCTACGCTTACTTGGTTGTAAAAATGGTAGGTTTCATGCATGCTTCATATGTCATAATGGTGATGATGTCACCATCAAAAATGGCGACATATTGTTATTGTCTCCAACTTTTTGGTGGACAACAGTTGTTGTTCGGTGACAAGCATCTGTAACAATTGACATGTGGTGACATTTTGCATGTTAATGCCTTGTTCAACAGTTGCTATACTATTTCTCTCATTTTGAAATTCTTAAAAGATACGCACAGTAAAACCTGCTTAGTGGAAGATATCTGTAAGAATAACACCTCGCAATTAGAACACTTTTTTCCTACTTTTTAAACCCATTGACATAAAATAATGATGATCATAATGATTATCGATTTTATATAACCTCCTACTGTGATTTTTGGGCCAGAAAAACAAGCCAACTTGATAATTAAGTAAATATGCCTCCTGTAGATATAAGTGTAGGATGCCACCTTCAGATAATACTCCTTGCTGTTTATTTCAGACTTGATTGCAAAAACTGAGTTCATTAGACCAAGTTTGTAAGATCGATGATCCAACATGTTCTTACAAATCCCTGTGACACCATTACCTCTGTAAGTGGAACACCTTGCAAGTGGAACATGTTTTGGCAGAACCAAAGGTGTTCCACTTACACAGGTTTCTCTATATGTGGATCAGGATGAACAATATACCCTGCGTTCAATAAGTCCATGCAAATATGATCTCATTTTATCACATTTCAATGTTCTTATTGATAAGTTGAAACTCACGCAGAATATAGAGGAAATATTTGTGTATTGAGATCAAAATATAATTGTGTTATGCTTTAAATCAAAAGTTATTGTTGCTATGGTGACTCATGTTTTGGTCATACAGAGCATTTTTTGCCTTTGGGCAGTATGCCACCTTAATTTTTTATTCTGGTTTAATTCTGGCAAATAATGTGTTTTGACTAGAAATGTGTGGATTGATGGGGAAATTTTGATATATCATACTAAGCACTCATTGCTCTTCTTTTGGAATATACTGTACTCTAGTTGGTTATTTGTCATTGGTGTTCATCATACAGAAGTATCCTTCTTTCATAGGTGTTCATCATATTTAAGTATTTTTCTTTCATAGGTGTTCATCATACAGAAGTATTCTTCTTTCATAGGTGTTCATCATAGATAAGATATTTTGTCTATGACGTCATAATCGTATCTGACCAACCCTGAGATATATCGGCAGAGATCACGATAGTTGAAAAAACTTGTTAGCCATTGTGGCTAAATCTTCCAAAAAAATTTTCGCCAACCAAAATATGAATTAGCCATTTTGAAAAACTGTAAAAAAGGGAACATTAAAAATGATGCAATGTCTGATGATGACAGTTTCACTTTCAGTTTCACTTTTCAAAATCATATTCAGAAATAAAAAAACGTCAATTAAAATTGAATGTAAAGCATCTGCCGCGAATGTGATCGGCATTTTACATAGTCTGCACCAATTCGTTTACCTTGTGATATCGGAGTCCCAAAATACTTCCAAACTGCCGACTTTTTCGACTTAAATGCCGGCTCGATTTTTCAATTTCTCTCCTACATCCGGCATACTGATAATGCACTCGATTTGCGAACGACGCTGAAGAAATTTACGAACAACCATTACCATCTACCTGAAATCGCGGGTCCGTTAATAACACTTTTCAATGCAAAGAAGTGTAATCTAGGTACGAGGTAAGTGAAAATATTTAATTTTTCAGAACGAAATCGGAGGTGTTCCTCGCTATTTATACACGTTTTTATGCATTTTAGGGAAGGAATCTATGTACCGATATTAACCCTTTCTGTCCCATGTCCCGAACCGAAGCATCTGGACCGAAATTCGGTCCAATAGCGGGAAACCGTGACACCTCTAATTCGCCATAACTGCGAAATACCTTTACATATTTTTCGCCACCTCTTTCGAAAATTCGCGATTGGCGAATGGCGAAGGTCTACCGTGATCTCTGATATCGGGGTGCTGTCCAGTAACTGTCACACAATCTGTACCAACTATCTTACCAAATATTCAGGGGTCACAAGGAGAACCTGGTAGGGTGCAATTGAAATATTTTGTCATTGGCTTCACAAATGGCATATAACTTAGCGCATAGGGTGTTAATACAGTCTATTTTATGCTAATGTGAAAACATGCAAAAAGTAGCTTTGGCCAGCGATGAGCAAGGAAGAGACATCTTTGAATTTGTCATTTGTTTTATCTACAAACTGCAACAAACCATACTGCATGTTCTTTATCCTTCATTTATGGATTCTTGATCTGCGAATTATTATATTTACACTATATTTTGGTATATCATACATAAATGTCACACAGAGACTGAAACGTATGACAATGATAATTGTCATTGGGGGTGATACATTTATTTTAATGTTTTAGGTTCATCGTTTGTTATATTATGCCTTGAAAATCTATATAGATTGTTTTGGGCATTTTAGGACAAATTTTTTTGCAAAAATATTCATTTTATCAACCTTGCTTTAATATACTTGCAGGGTCTGCCTGGACGTTAGATGAGGGTGAAACGCCTCAGGAAATCAGGAAGTTGCATGCCAACTCTCCACCACACTCTACCAAACATCTTTATGTATCGTCACCAGAGAAAACGGTAAGTCAGAGGTTAAAGTCTTATTGGAATTTTTCACTCATCAATTTGATTTTCTGTCCATTCATCTATCAAAGATAGACAAATGAAACTGCGATACATCTGAATTAATTGCCTATATTTTTTTTATTGTATGGGGGACCATGCTAGTAATTAGTATCATTAGGCCAGCCTCATACTCTTGCCTTGTTTTGGAGAAATATAAGGATCCCTTGAAATGATGCAATTTGGAATATGGAGGCTATCTTTTGGGAATTTCTTTTGTCATTGGTCTTCTGCAAGTGAATTATCTCCATCTGTTGCATGTCTTAAGTTAAGTTCCTCAATGAAAAAGTGTATCCCTTTTCTGAAAATTTAGCCAGTCTCCCTCCAGATCTACCAATTTAGCACATGGGGAGAGGCACATATCACAGGTATTCTCTTTATTCAACCACAAAAAATTGATCCAGAATTTATGAAGAGATAAGATTAGTATTAAAAACTGATATCATTCACCTTTAAATGAACCTACTTTTCATATAGGGATAAAATATATTGTATTTTCAGTTTTGCATTGAACGTTAGAACACTTTGACATCATATTAAATTACTTGCTTTTAGGAAAGCTCATGGTTATCAGATGAAATTACCATCAGTTCAATGTTATACAAAAGGCCTTACATAACTTGTTTTTTTGTTTCATTACGTGCCTTTTGTAACTCTCTGTCATTATACTAGGAGAACACTGCAGGGTGATTGGTTTCATAGAATAGATTGTAGTTTTAGAAAATTAAGCCTCTCAACTAATAGTTATGATTTTCCTGTTAGGTAAAAGTGAAAAGTTATCGAAATGATATTAAGTGAAGTCGATAAAAAGTGAATATTCAGTATAATTTTGAGCATAGCAAAAGTAAAACTCTAAGACTTGTCTCAACCTCAGATTGATTTTTACAGCATATTGCTTCTTGGTCTTTGAAATCAAACAAAGGAAAAGGCCATAAATCACCCGTGGCATTGTACTGAACTTTACATCAATCAACAGTTTTTCATAACACTCAGTTCTTTCTTGTCGTTCGATCGATTTATTAATTTTGTCACATAAAATGCCCTCAATATAACATGCTAAAATCAATGTTTGTTACTGTATTACATAATCATCAATTGTATGCAAAGAATGATCTGGACCAAAGAATCTGAAATTTCTGAAATTGAGATAAAAATGTTTCTTGGAGATAAGATTTAACTACACGCTATATACACTCTCTGTAAGTTGGAGAAACTAGATAAGAACCCATGTAGACTAATGTGGTCTTTGAATACTGCTATAAAGCAGATATATATGTTGTATTTCTTCTGAACAGTAAGAATGATATGAAATCTTCAGAAATTCTCAAACTGTTATGTGAAACTTTGAACATGTTGAACTACACATCAATTATCACTACATTTATTACATTAGATTTATGTACATTCAAAAAACAAAAAGATAGATCTGAAGAGTGATAATGACCAAATGAGATGTTGTTGTTATGCACCGTCTTATCCAGGCATCTCACTGAGTACTCACTGCCCTATGTCAAAAACATTTGGGAAGCCCCTCCCCTTGGATTCTGAATGATAATAGAGGGGAATAACATCTCAGTGTATGACCTTATGGTCATATAAAGATGAACTTGAAGTTATTTTTATAGGTCTTCGACCCGAGATCAACCATGTCATGTCATCATTGATGATTTGTCAATCACATCACTAACAGAAACAAAATTAACGATTTATATTACACGCTTTGAATGCTTTGAGAATGTTATGAATTTTATGTTATATCTCATTTTTGACATCGCTCACTCATCAATTCCATTTTATATCATCACAAATGTTTTTCAAATAAAATTAAAAATGATAGTCACCACGACTTGAAACTTTAGAGTACACAGCGATCCAAATGTGGTGATCTCTGGCAAAGTTATTGGCTAGAGACTCGAGTAATACATAACCTAATAACAACAGTACATGCTGACCTCTATAGAACAAATAACTTAACATTATCGTATTACAACCTTTAAAGTAATAAAATCTTGGAATCGTCAATTATATTAGCTAGAGCACTTGATTTTCCCAACTTGAAAGCGAAGGAAATATTAGATTTCACATTTGTTACATCATTTTGCTCATATGGGTGATCTTTCGTTTCAAAACTAATTTGAAAAAAATAATAAGAGTAGGAAAGTATTCCTTTCAGACAGTTTTCTAAGAATTATTATTTCAGTGTATGGTTTACTAAAAGTGCATGAAAGTTTAGAAATGTGGAAATGTAATCTTGATTCATCATCTGAACGTAATTTTATTGTTTGTTGGAATTCGACATATGTTCTCCAGGCCCGTAGCCAGGATTTGCCAAGGGGGTTTAGTTTTCAAAAATTTCCAGGGGGGGGGTTCACATTTGACAATTTTGGCCCAAGTATGGCTAAAATCACTTGAGAAGTGCTCAAAATGTTGAAAAACTTCATGATTTTGAAAGAATGTTTGGCCAGAGGGGGGGGGATTCGCCCAAACACTCGCGAACCCCCCTGGCTACGGGCCTGGTTCTATAATAGGCTAAAATATGTGTACATATAGAATAGACTAAAAACATCCTGTATTGTTTAAGTATTTCTTATTTGCACTTGTATACCTATGTAGTCGTCTTTGTTAGATTAATGCTTCAGTCTGAGTTCAGTTCCTATGGGAACAGCATCTTTTCAGATTTGGATATTTTTGACAGGAGAGTCAATATGAATTAAGAATGGTTCAATAATCATACTTTGCTCCAGGAACTTGAGGTACAAAAATTATCATAAACAAGAGACATCTAGCAAATGCTAATCAGTGTTCCTTTTGGTTTCGATATTGCATATATTATAGTTCCCTTGATATTTTTGATTTTTATCTTTTTGAGTATCATTTAAGATTAAATTATATACATGTCCCTTGTCTATCTCTAGCTACTCGTAGAGTTTGCACTAACAAATTCCACTGACCCCCCAGTGGCCATGGATTCCTGCTTTATATTTGTTTAACTGTTGTTTTAATTTAAGGACTTTTTGGAAGTATTGAATTTTTCATAACAATATAAGCACTTTTTGGAAGTATTGAATATTTTAAAAAATTGGGAAAAAATGAGTTGCGTTGTATTTTGTATTTATATTAGAATATAGCTGCTTGGTGTTTATAAAAGTAGTAATACAGAATGAATGAATATAAAAATATTTCTACTATAAATAAGTTATGTGCTAGATGTATATTCTGATATTGTGACACAATATTCTAACCTTTTGGCGGAACTGACCCATTTCTGTCCAGTTAAAACCAACATATATGCTCTTGAGAGCATCATGTTGTATTGAATGTCATGTATGTTTTTCAAAATAGTAATAAATATCTGAAATCTGAATCTGAAATCTGAATATTCTAATATTGCGACACATTCTACAAGTAATTCTAGAAGTAAAGATTTTAGGTATTATAATTTAGCCATTTATGTGATTTCTTAATTAATTAAAAATCAGAATGGCTAACTAGAATTTCCATTCACTTAAGAGAAATCTAGGGCAAAAATTATGTCATTAAAAGTAAGGTCATTGCAACCTAATTAATCATGTAATCCCCTTGAGAATTCTTCTGTAAATTGATGATATTATTGTGATCTTTATTAAAACAACTTTGCCCTGGGTCTTATTCCCGGATTGTTTACTAATTGTATTGTGATAAATTACAATTTTAGCTCCAGCTAAAGTGTTTCGTAATAAACATTCTGCCATCCTATAGTACACCTTACTGTAGATTATACAAGTCTACTCATGCTATTATCTTGTTTTTGAGAAATAGAAAAATGACAAGGGATTAATGGAATTGACACATTTATTAAACCTAAAAGGATACTAGCTACTTCAGAGTTATTTTTAGCAGGGTAAATGCTCAAAATAGACAGACTTAGCTTAAAATAGATACTAACCCTTCACAAAAATATCAATGATTGCCATATTTTATGATAGAAATTGAGTTAAACTTAAAGAAATTATTTTGAAAATATAGTAAGTATGCATACTTCAAGCATATGCTTTATATACATGAAGTATGAAAAAATGCATGAAAAGCAGGCATCTCGTTCAAAATTTAATCAAAAAGTTTTGAATCAAGAATGAACTGCCCAAAATTGTCAAGTCTCATATTTTCTGTTCAAAGAGTAGGCTAGTATGAATCGCATGGTTGTTTTTATATCAACTAAACCAGCTGGTTGCCACGGGTGCTGAATCCTACATATACAGATGCATTATGTATTAAAGTACACACATCCTGAAAGTAAACCAATTCCCAAAGATAAATCATAAACATATTTTTATTGATGGGATGTATTATTAATGCATTTTAGAATTTATTTTGCTTCCAATGTTGTTTTTGCTTTTTTATAATATGTGATAATTTTTCGCCTCTTATCTGAACTATTTTTTTACCAAGTCTATGAATAACTTATCTACTTTACCTTTTATTGAGGTGGGGTGTCTAGGGGTCAAATGGGTTTGATGTAAGACTTATCTTACAATAAGCTCAATCACAAGCAGCCATTAAGAAGTCAATGGACTTAGAGAACAATGAATTAAGGTCTTATATAAATAAGTAAAGCATACCTGCTTCTTACTTTCATTATAAAAAATCCTTGTCTTGAATTATGACAGAAGTTATCTCGCTGTGACCCAAACTTGAAAATATTACTTTTATGTCATTTATTTGTGATTAACCAATCACTAAAAATGCCTGATACTTCAAAGTAAATGTTCCAAGAAATGAGAAAAAATGTCAGAAAAGAAAATTAATTATACATATATAGTATTACATAAGATACCATAGCCACCTTAAGGTGGATCTTGTTGAATAATTTTTAGACCTACACCTCATCAGCATGCATACATGTGTATGCCAGATTCACACTACTCATCTTACCTTAACTATTCTGAGATCATTAACAAAAACATAAATTACAAAAATACATTTACTATTGAGCCACAGTAAAACCTATATATATGAACACCTCCCTAATCTGAACAGTCCTTTTAATAATAACACTTGCTCAGTCTTAATTTTGTTATCTTATATTATTTGTATATATCATGCGGTCCTAACTTCGACTGTTAATTTGAATTTTTGACTTACCAGGTGCTTGAAAATCAAGGATTGTGAGTCTCATACTGCACAGTTTTTCTTCAAACTTATATCATTAAAAGCAGAACAAAATTGCCTTTCTGTTGGTGTATTACTTTATTGTAAAGAGTCCCTCGTTCTAGCAGCATTTTGGTCCCCAGCTGTTAGAAGGCCTTCTTACAGCTGGGGACCAAAATGCCGCTGGAAGTAGGGACTCTGTTGAAGAGAATAATGTACTATCAGAAAGGGATTTGTGTTATGCTTTGAATGGAACAAGTTTGAAGAAAAACGGTGCAGTATGAGACTCGTAATCCTTGATTTTCAAACATCCGGTAGGTCAAAAATTCAAATTAAGGGTCGAAGTTAGGACCGCATGTATATATTGTCCTAAATTCATTACAATTGTAAGGGTTTTTTAAGTGAAAATTTAATCTAAAGTTAAGCTGTTTCTAAGCCAGATTAAACAGAAATATTATTCAGAGAATTTGTTTTGTCTTCAATAACAATTTATCATTTGTCACCACCAGACAATGATAATTCCTTGTATTGAATTTCATCTTGCTGTCAAATTATTTTTATAAATTATATGTATGAAATATAGTCTGACATTTCATAATATTTATACACCTACAAAAACACATTAATGGTTACTAAACCACATCCTGATGATCGAGGCAAAAATCTCAATTCACCAGTGATATATTAGAGACTGTCTGCAAATCAAACTCATTAAAGAAAGCTCGGTTCGATATAGCATTGGAAAGGTTACAAATAAGATTTCATTTTAAAGTTATATACCTTTTATCGACTCAATAATTATGTCATATAGTATGAATGTCATACCAATCACTACAGTGTACAAAAACTATAAACTATATATTACAAAACTACATCAGTTTCACATGTCACGAGCATAATACAAAATATCAATGTGGTGCATCCATAGTACATGTACATGGTTTTAAGGATTTAAGCCATGGACTCAGTGCAATGTGGAATGACCATTCCTTAAGTTTCAAAAGTTTAATGTTTCGTGTTCCAAAGAACATGTACAGATATTGTTCATTATGTCACCAGTCTAAGTAGTGACATATTGTTCATTATGTCACCAGTCCATGTAGTGACATATTGTTCATTATGTCACCAGTCCATGTAGTGACATATTGTTCATTATGTCACCAGTCCATGTAGTGACATATTGTTCATTATGTCACCAGTCCATGTAGTGACATATTGTTCATTATGTCACCAGTCCATGTAGTGACATATTGTTCATTATGTCACCAGTCCAAGTAGTGACATATTGTTACAGTCTTCAACATCTTTGTGGATCGTGTTCAGTAGGCAGCATTTGGCATCTGTAACAAGTTGCAGGTGGTGACATTTTGCATTGTGAAACAATGATTCCTAATAACGCAAATGCGAGTAGGTAGTTATCAGTTTCACCACCAGGTGGCTCGTTCGGTCAGATAGCATGGCGGGTACAGGAGAAAGTTCCCTTTAACTAAAATTACATCTGTTTTAGTGGTTCAATTTCCATATCACCTTATTGCATCGAATAGTTATGCAAATTGAAATATGTCCAGTAAAAGAAAATGGTATCTGTCCAATACAAGAAAAGATATTTCACTTTTTGTGATTTTGTAATATGGGGTCTAAGGGGAATCAACCCGAACTAGAAGTCACATTTTCAAAAAAAATTAAATTTTCAAAGTTGATAAACAATTTTCGAAACCATTATTCTAGATGTAGTTTTACATGTAGATTTCAAATATGACATCACTTTGACTGAATTTTGAATGTTTAATAATGTAAATCAAGATCATTGCTACTCGCATCTAGTCTATTACGAGGCAATAATAACTGAGAAGATATACATAATGAAAAGGTAATAGGTTAATGCCTCATTTCGATATAAAATTGATATTAAATCAACTGTAAAACTAAGAGGTGTTTTTCCTGAGATGTGATTGTTGTTTTATTAGCACAACCATGGTTCATTATTCATTAATAAATTACTTAGTGATATACCTTCTGATAATATATATATTTATCATATATTATACATATGATGTAAATGATTGTAAAAAATGAATGTTATTGCTACAGAAAATCACATTGAAATTAGATGAAAAATACATGCTTGTGTAATGCCCGGGATGTACATGTTCCTGTGGAGGTAGTTTATCACTCATGTGCTGCTTATTTAGGATTGAACATGACATACAGAATAGCTTGCTTTAATGAATGTATTATTTTATTAAATATAACTTTCTATCCATGATGGCTGATTATGAGGGTACAGCATGCAACATGCTCAGTAAAGTTTCTATATTGATATGCTCAGGGCCCTAGCCAAGGGGGTTCGGCCATCCCTGGCCAAAAATTCTTTCAAAAATCATGCAGTTTTTTACGATTCTGAGCATTTTTCATGTGATTTTGGGTCAAGTTTGTCAAGGTGAATCCCCCCTGAAATCGTTCAGAAAAGTGAATCCCCCTTGGCAAAAGCTGGCTACGGGCCTGATGCAGCTTCCATTGTGACGTGCTCTAATACTCCATTTGAAACACAGGCCCAGTGATCTGGATCCAGTTAGATTCAATCTGAGCCAATCATACTCTCAGCCGAGGCTTTTCACTATTAATGCATAATATAACTTAACATGTAAAATATTCTGGGTCAAACTTGATTACATGCTCTGATTTTTTTTTCAAGTTTTTGCAATAAACATTATTTGAGCCTGGCCACAGGAAAAGGGGTCTTATCACCGAATTTTTCAATATTCTGATTTTTTGTTTATCTTAGAAAGCACAAAGAGACCTTTCAAATGAGCCATAGCTTATGTCTTAACAATTTTTCCTTGCATATATAGAACAAAAAGTCGGATTTGAATTTAGCACATTTTCCTCCTAATCTTGGGCACATTTTTGCTCTGTAGCACAATTCTAATTTTTGTGATAAGACCGGTTTTCCTATGGCCAGGCTCATTTATTGTTGAACATTTCTAAGAAAAAAGAGTAATCCAGTTCAAAGTACATCCCAATATCTATAAAATTGTCTTAAACCTGATATATCTCTTGAATTGAGTATTTTCTGAGAAATCTTTATCCGAATTAAATACTTTATAGTACAAAACGAATCACGTCTGAGAAAGTACAAAGTTCTCATTTGCATAAATTGACATCAATTGATGGATAGTTGTACCGTACGAATTTGTCCCTCATCGGTGCAATGTTAGAATAATTAATAAAATTTTCTGACATTTAAGCAAGAAGACATTATCAACTGAAAACAAGCAATGATTTATTGGAAAATGCCATAATGAGACAATAGAAGCATACTTTAGTCCGAAGATTGAGTATTGGTTTCCCAGTGCAGAATTTTTTACTTTAGGTGCAATCTCGTGTCATTTTAATAAACATAGAGAATTTAACGTCTTAGGGATTTAAAAAACTTCATTTGGTGTATATTTAGTGTATTTAGTTGCATTTCAGTGATTAAGAGCGAAAGAGATTTTTTAACTTGCAATCTAAATCTCAACTATTCAAATTGGCGCAAAATGTTCCTAAAAAGGACCCCTTATTAGGATCATGTATCATTTAAGACCCCTTGAATTATGGACTGCTGTAATAATCTTGTGCTTTTTATTATGTTTCAGCAGATGTCTTCATCAGACGATAAAAGGTAGGAAAATATTAAATTGCTTGAATTTGAAATTAATTTGATATAAAATATAATTAAAGTTAAAAAATAAAAAGTGTGCAATTAGATAACAATTCTACAATTAGACAGATGAATTTTATTTCATGCAATAAATCCGAAGTAACATTTGAAACTTGGATGTCACGTCAATTTCCATGTTAAAAATATAATTTTCAATAATTTTTCCTGTTGTCAAATGTTAAGATGATCTCTCATTTATTACTTATAAAATAAATCCATATAATTTCTATATATCTATGTAAAATAGAACTGTTTTCTCCATTTGAAAAATCAAATGTTTGTCAATTAGTGTTTGTCAATGTAGTTTTTATAAAAAAAAATTTTTTGTATTGATGTGTCATTGAACTTTGTTGACACAATCTTTTGAGCACAAAACGTTGCATGGATTGACCATATTGAAACAAGTGATCAATGTTCAACAAGCCTGATTAGCGAATTCATTTGCTTCAAGTGGGTCTCTCCTAGCAAACACCAAAATCCATCTCAGATTTCAATTCATAAAATAAATATTGATCATCGATCACAATGTACTCCTATTCGACACTAAATTGAAGAATTTCTAAACATTGTAATACATACTTTAAACTTAACGGTTAATCTGTATGACAATTGTTTAAAGGCCTCTCTTAAGGATCGCTATGTTGATCGTTCAGATTTAAAAGTAACGAATCTCCCAGTTGGATATTTTAATTATTTTCAAATATATGTTTTGAACTTGGGCCGAGAATGAATGCACTTGTGGCCTGAGGATAATGCAGATTATAGGGTTGTATTTTATTAAGGGATATATTTGGAGATAGATCCGACATTCGGACAATAGATTGGTTCCAAGGCTTTATAAATATACATGTAAAATATGGAAATTCATTTTGGTGAAAGTGATTTTGGAACTGGAGGAACTTTAGCTTGGAATATAAACGCAGCTTTTCTTTGGTAGGTACAACTAATATTTCAAAAAACTGTTTCTCTTTTATTTTGAATAAGATCACAAATTTTGTTATAAAATTTAATTTGAAGTGATATGATAGGTATACTCATTGTTACATTAAAAAATATATTGAGATAAGACATGAGTCAAAATTCTCGAAGTTCCTATCTCCAAATTTGGCATAGGAAGCATGTCTTCAATGATTGCTATGACAACAGATTTAGAGAAACAATTTACTCTGATAAGAAGATAGAGTAATACTTTTCACCATGACAACACAGCTTGGACCGAGCTTCCCAAATTTGAGAATTATGCAGCATAAGATATAGGGATAGCGGTGCGTTTTAGATTTTCTAAATGGATTTTTTGAAGCTACAGCCTCTGTATGCGCACTGTAGAGCAAGTGTGACTGAGGCTTTACATGTAATGAGATGATTTCCTGTCGCAGAATTCTTGTTGCCCACCGCAAATGCTAAAATTTCATAACAGGAAGCCACATACACGTCTCTATTATCTATTTATCTATATAATTGTTATGTTGCATCATAACTTCGACAAAGTTAATTCTGGCTTCTTTATGAAAAACAACAGATAAAAATCATTGTGAAAGAGATGCAAAATCATATGTTCTAATTAGAACAAATAAAAGCCCTTATTTCCGGTAATTAGATTGAACAATAAAACAAAAATGAGCAAGTAATATAAAAAATGACCTGAAGAAGTTATTGATAGCAATTTTATTGAGGTGAGCTTTTTTTTATTATTATTGAGCACAATTTTATGATGTTTTTTCTAATGGATATAACTATTGTAATGTAATTCAGGTAAGGTAGATTGGATACTATTTTGTGGCTTTTTATGTCACCTCCGACATATTGTTGTCATCTCCAACATTGTTGTGGACGATGTTCGGCAGTTAGTGTTAGGTATTTGGTGGTTGATGTTTGGCATTCGGTGGTTGGTGTTTGGCATTTGGTGGTTGGTGTTTGCAACAAATGACAGGTGGTGACATTTTGCATGTTAAGCCTTGTTGATTATTTGAACTCTGTTTGAAGTCTATTATAAGACAATTCTTGCTGAAAATGTTAAGGGTATTATTTGAAGATATGCCATTGAAATAAAATTTGTTATTTTAATCAACTATGACGTTCAAAAGATTTATGAAAGAAAAATCAGAAAAACATAAAAGGTGCTAATAGATCTGTTTCGTGATGATGTTATGAAAGCATACATATACGCACATAACTCTGTGGCATTATTAAAAAGTATGGGACTGTTTATCTGTTCGCTTTTATATGATCTGTTTTCATTCATATCATTTGAAAATAGATATAAATGATTGTTTATAATGCAAGGATCATAACATACGAAAGGCAGTCTCTTTAAATAGGATTATATTTTACAATTTTCAATTAAAGAGACTTTCTGGATACATCTCAAGAATGAAATTTAAAAAACTTTTCAGAAGGTATTTGGTTTCTATTGGTTGCCATTTTCTACTTATATCTGAGGATGGCAAATTGATTCTCAACTTTTGAGATTTCTCCTTCTATCGATAGTGTCAAGAATTTTGAATTATTTCATATTTCAAAGCTATGATAACTTGTTTCTAAATTGTTTTTTTGCTCTGCTACCTTTGTCCCAAAGAACATATACAATCTACTTGCTTTACATGTAATTTTTGGGTTTTCTAGGTTGGAAAGAAGTAGTAGCGCAAAGGGAAGAAGTTTTTCAAGTTTTGCCCGACGACTTAGTGCAAAGGAACATAGAGGGCGCAGTAATGAAACAGAGACTTGTAAAAAGACGTCAAGACAACGTTCTGTTAGTGTAGACTGGTGAGTTATTTGAGTTTACTCACTGGTTTAATAGTTTGAAAAAAAACATAAATTAAGATGACATATTTGAGTATTTTGCTTTAATGTTGTTAATGTGTAAATAAATGAAAGATACCTGATGACGCTGAAGTAGCTAATCCAAGTATACAATATGAGGTTATATTTCATATTTGAGTGGGTTTGGGGTAGATATCACCCGGGAATATATATCATATCTGAGGAGCGGGCAGGATATATTGTATATGTCCCGCTCTAGGCCAAATGCGGGCAGATATATTATATCCATCCTGCTCCCGGGAATTTTTTCAAAAGTTTAAAAAAGTTTAAAAAATTTTAAAATTTAAATTTCAGAAGTTTAAAATTTTTCAAAAAGTTTAAATGTTACAATTCTATTGTATTGAAGGAATATTATGAAAATGTTAAATATAAATTGTGCTTTTACAGTATAGGCCTATCTTGTCATTTGAAAAAGGTGGTAAAGGTTATATCTACCCCAAACCCACTCAAGTATGAGATACACCAGTTATGTACGGTCGGTTTTGGATACAGTGTCTTATATATAATGATAATGATTGATTACGTATATCATGTTTATACTCAAGTGAGTATGATATATTCACGAGTGACTGAAGGGAACGAGTGAATATATCATTTACTCACAAGAGTTTAACAAAATCAACCATTATATGATCTTATTACTCACTTAATCAAGAAAAGGTTAATCTAAATTCAGCAGTTGTATATCAAGTCAAAGAGTTGTATACGCTGCCCAGGAGTTGTATACACTATCCAGGAGATGTATTTCGTTCTCAAGAGTTGTATACGATGAGTGTTGGTTCTATATTGCAGTTATACAACGCTATTATACAATCATATAAAGCACTTAGGGTGGGATAATGATATATTGTACTTAATAAATAATATACATGTAATGACTTTTCCCCATTCCTGTTGAACAATGTGATTGTTTCATAATTCATTACAGTTAATGTCAAGGAGTGGTGACATAATATTATATTGTTGTTGTTCTTGTTTCATTTACTTAATGTTAAAATCACGTTTTAGTGGGGATGCTAGAAATGCCATAGGGAACATGCTAGAAGCACCACAAGTGATGAAATCAGACAGCGCAACTTCTCTCCACCCCTCCCCCAGTCTCCCCACCAAGCTCAATAGGAACAATAGTGGAAGTGGGTCTGCTTCCCCCACTGGACAAAGCAGGCTTGTTCGTACATTCTCAGGTAAATTGGCAACTCTTTTGCTCATCTTGCACTGTGTTGCTGAACCCCCACCTTTCTCGTCTTGTTGAGGTGAGATGTTAGGTCCTACATGGTATTGAATCAAGATTATTTCAATTGATCTGAACAAATCAATCTGAGCATCCTCCAAGTGCAGGGCTCTAGATATCATTCACTACATGTATCTTCCAAGAAGAAACAGATGCTTAATATCTCACATAAATATAAAATGTTACTGACTGTTCCAAATATATTGGTTGCAGACTTTATATATTAATTTAATCTATTTTTTGGAAATAATAAAATATATACAAATGCAAATTGCATTCCTTGCTGGAAGCATAAACATGTGAACTTCCCTGTAAGTAGGTTACAAAATAATTGATTGTTTATCCCTTCCCCCATTTTTGGGGCTTAATTCCAAGAATGAATCGTTGGCCAATTTATTGCAATTAATCTGGCTAATATTATAATTCTGAACTAAGAGAGAAATTTGATGGAATATGTATGATTCCTAGAGGAATTTATTTTAAGGAGAAATAGAGTAAAATATTTTATAATTGTGTAAACAAGTGGTTACATATTGTTATTATAGTCACCAACTTTTTTGTGGTTGGTGTTCGATGTTTGGCAGTTGGTGTTGGCAGTCAGCATCCTTTAAACAAATGGCAGGTGGTGACATTTTGCATTGTTTGTATTATTTTTATGTTGATTAAGCCATTTCAGCAATTTATTATTTTCTGATATATTGGCAGAAATATGGATACATGGACCATACTATCTGAAAATTGACATTTTTAATCAAAATTTAGTCGAAAGACAATTTTCTCCCTGAATTCATTTTTAACTTGTAGATTGTAACAGTTTCGTTATTGCTATTACTTTAGGTAGTAAACGTAAGAATTCCAACAACGATTCAATGAAAGACAAGAAAAAGACAGACAAAGGAGAGAAAAAGTCAGATGTACATGGTAAGTTCTATAGATGTCTCTAGTGAAGTGCAAGCAATATATAACTGTGATGGTCTTCATGTCACTTAAAATAGAAATGCTCATAATTGCTTGTTTGAAAGTATTTTTTGACCAACCATTGGCATAGGGGATAAAAGTAGTAAGGTAGTATACAGTAGAAAGAGACAGTCCTCTTTTATAGACTCATATCCTACTTCTACTTTCCCCCAGGCCTATGGGACCAACCCTTTACCCATTATTTATTCTGCAGTTACGCACATATGTTACGAAAGTGTTAAAGTGAGAGGAGAGGTAAGCAATGTAATATGCACATTTCCGTAAAAAAAGTTGACGAATAACCATATGCTTCATAGAGAAAATGATAATTATTTATGTCAAAATGTAAATGTTCATTATGCAATTAATAACCTCTCCATTCGATTGACCATTAAAATTATTCCTGACACAATGAGCAGAGACTGCAAGTTATTTAATTAATTAAACATTCTTCAGCTTAAAGCTCACCCCCCAGCAAGACTAAAAGTTCTTATATGCATCACATTCCACCAATTTTTCCCTGATTATTATCATGATGTAATTCAAACACAATGTACAGGCAATGTAGTGCTCAGTCAACTGTCAAAATTATTGACTGGTCATTGACCAATCAGGACCTTGTATCTGAATTGAAGTTTAAAACAATAAGTATGTGTACATAGAAAAGCTGTCCACAAGGCAAGACGACCGATATAATCACTTGCTTTTCATGGTTGCAATACTTTCATATATTGTAAATAATGAATGTCATTAATAATAGCAGTGCAAAACAAAATGTCACATGGTAACATTTCCGTGATTTAGTCCATGCTTTTCCTATTTCGTCTCTTATCGACAATTATTAATTGCTAGACTGGACTTTGAGCCAATCAGATTGCCAGGTTCAAGTTAGTTTTTAACCAGCGGATGAAATAAAACTCTTATCAGTGACTAAAATAACTACATGTGAACAGTTCTTAAGAGCATATTAAAGTAGACTAATTGTCACAAGATACAGACTTCTTTAATTTACAACAGTCTAAATATAACCCATAATGATTAATTAGTGTAAAGAATAATTAAACAATCAATAAAGCATTCAGAATTGAAGGGAATTCACAATTATTAATCTAGGTAGTAATCTTATCACAAAGGAAATCCTGGTATGAGGATATAAATTTCAGATTTGATTGGGTTAAATTGGTACCTACATGTATATGTATTGTTTCCTATGGAAGTAGTCAGTGCCTAGAGCAGGTTCAATAGAAATTAATGTGTCTCAGGGTCAAATTGGAGGATAGGGTTGGTTGTCCTCATATGTTTTTATTATTATCTTACGATGGGATTAACCTACAAATGAAAGGCATTTCCAAGTCATCTAAATAGTTTGGAGTGTTAAGCCATTCATTTGAGTTCAGTTCAATGACTTCAATGAAATGAATTGTGGTCAAGAATATCTGTATTGAATGAAATAAATTGTGGTCAAGAATATCTGTATAGAATGAACTGAATTGTGGTCAAGAATATCTGTATTGAATGAAATAAATTGTGGTCAAGAATATCTGTATTGAATGAAATAAATTGTGGTCAAGAATATCTGTATTGAATGAAATGAATTGTGGTCAAGAATATCTGTATTGAATGAAATAAATTGTGCTCAAGAATATCTGTATTTCATTAGATTTTTTATTTTATAACAATGGAGCATGAGGCAGTACGCAAGATTTTACTCAACTCACGTATGTCAGGCCTACGCATTCCTAAATTGACATATGTTACAGTGGAAATGGTGCACTTATTTCATTTATCATGTCTGTTTAAGAGATCACCGTCATTAATTTGAAGATGACTGACTTAAGTGAAAGGAGAAAGAAAGCGCAGAGCAATGCATCAAACCACCAGAGTCAATCTGGAAACAATTGAGTTCACTCGTGCATATCTATTTGAGACTGTATTTCCATCTAGTAATCTACAGATAGTATGGTAACCTGCATTTAGTGTGGTATATTTAGTATGATTATCTACATTAAATCTACATTTTATGTGGTATCTACATTAAGTATGATAATCTACAATAAGTATGATAATCTACAATAAGTATGGTAATCTACAATAAGTATGATAATCTACAATAAGTATGGTAATCTACACCAAGTATGATAATCTACAATAAGTATGATAATCTACAATAAGTATGGTAATCTACAATAAGTATGATAATCTACAATAAGTATGGTAATCTACAATAAGTATGATAATCTACAATAAGTATGGTAATCTACAATAAGTATGGTAATCTACACCAAGTATGATAATCTACAATAAGTAAGGGAATCTACATTAAGTATGATAATCTACAATAAGTATGATAATCTACAATAAGTATGGTAACCTACAATAAGTATGATAATCTACAATAAGTATGGTAAACTACAATAACTATAATACTCAACAATAATTATGGTAATCTACAATAAGTATGATAATCTACAATAAGTATGATGATCTACAATAAGTAAGGAAATCTCATTAAGTATAATAATGTACAATAAGTATGATAATCTACAATAAGTATGATAATCTACAATAAGTATGGGAACCTACAATAAGTATGGTAATCTACAATAAGTATGGTAATCTACATCTGAACATTTGGCATTAATTCTAATGAACATATCATCCATGGAGAATATTAAAAAAGATACAAATTATATCTGAAACCAATGAAAATTGGTTAAATTATGACATCTGACATGTTTTATTAGCTTGTCAGTATCAATTGTCTTGGATAGATTGCCCAATGACTGCAACGATGACCTTAAGATAGGCAGACATTCAAATACTCATGTAAACATACTAAGATCTCCACATTGTCCTCTCACTTTTAATTCGTCTTCTCACGTTTTAAGTAGTCAATGATCCAGATAGAATACAAAGATCTATCTACTATTTAACTTTGCCATATTACTGGTTCGGCAACACATTTTGTGAGGTAATTCAATTCAACACATTTTGTGAAGTAATTCAATTCAACACATTTTGTGAGGTAATTCAATTCAACAAATGAAACTGATACTAGTTTTGCATAAAGCTTTTTTACCCCTCTACTTCTACTTCTTGAAAATCCTGTATTTGTCGAAATCCTACTTAATCCAGTATTATTCAATCCCATATTAGAATCAGTAAATGTTATTTTGCCCATTTGTAAAGTCTGATTAATTAATTACTCCTACATGTAATAATCATCATAGTTTATGACGCTATTTCAATTATCAGATTCTTTTTTTTGTTTTGTCATCAGAGGAAATTTTTCATTTCGCTTTACAGGAATTTTAGTTTGAATGATGGAAAAAATAGGTTATTGATGACCCCAAAAAATGTATTGACACAGATCGGGCTGATGTCCTCAGTCAATTTGATATCTAGAACATGTACCAATGACTTTTTTGTGATCAGTGCTCATTAGGGAAATGTATCACACATTGACTTTGTTGGATCGCAAATGAATTGATGATTTGTCTTATACAAATATTAGAATTTACTTTAGCGGAATGCCTGGGTTCAAAATGTGAACAAAATCATCTAGATTCTATTTTTCAAACTTTTCGGTCAAGTATCACTTTTTCATTAATGAATTTCCTTTTTATTTCCTCTATATTCACTGTATGATTTCAGATTAGTGTTAATATTGCTGAAAATTTGCAGGAAGAACTTACCTGGGGGACTAAGCAAACACTGAAGCTAGCAACCTATTAAGACTCATATTTGATAAATCCTTCATCGGAATAAGAGTCCTAAAAGTTCACCTTTAATTGGTTCCTTGCCATTTTTTTAATTTCTAATATTTCTAGTGGATGCATCAAGATTCAACTTGACATTGGGTTTGATTTAAGTATCGTTTTATTCAGTTCTGAATCTGAGTTAGCTATTCATGTGAGAATGACAGGAAATATAAATCACAATTTATATTTTATGGCCGATATCATCTTTTATTCAGTTGAGTTCCAAGACTAAAGACTGGAATGTCATTATGACATTAGCCTCTCTATCGCTAAAATCTGATCGTGATTTGAGTTTCAAACAGGAGTGTAGATGTCTGGAAGGGAAGAGGGGTAAATGTTGACGAAAGATAACAGATACAATGTCATCTTGCACTAATATGTCACAATATCTAATGACTTGCATAAGCTTTCATATGCATGTATTAAGTGTCAATTATTTTAACATATCGAAGAAGCCATTTAATGAAAATTTAATTTAAGCTTATTGTGGGCAGATATCCGGAATATCATCTGTTCTATTCAGTGTCGAGCTGACAAAAGGAAAGCTTTCTCAACTACATGTTCGACCAATACATTCATCATTGACTGCATTATAACTTGTTTTCAAAAAATGTAGGATATTTATTTCTTCATCGATTTTTCTGGAATTTGAAATCATATTGAAACTAAGTATGTATCATATTTCTCCAGATTCTTGATATTTTAATCTTTTGATTTTGACTCCTGATCAAAATTATGAGATTTCGTAAAATTATATGTGCTCTATCTGCCATGTGATATTGAATTGACTTTGTCATTGGGAGACACCCTGTATATGCTATGCTAAGTGAGTGCATTTGTGCGGCAGAATACCTAAAAGGACACCGTGATCATCAATACACATTTCACACTTTTGATATTGATTGGATGTCTTCAAAATCAGCATTTAATCATAGGAAGAAATGTTATATTCAGAATTACAGAGCAGCTTTTTTCCCTTATGCCTACTACAGTACTTGGCCACTGGCCAGTGGGTTGCGCAGGGCAATGAACAGGGGTTTTCATCTGAAGATATATTTTTACGAAGTAACAAGACTGCTCCTATTAATTCAACTTATATATTTTAACTCCCATGTTAACCCATCAAGGTATGACTATAGAAATTCACTGGTTTATTTAACAGTATGCTATACTCATACAAGGTGATGTTAATAGGGTTGAGTT